CAAACTTGCAAACAAACAATACCTACTAAATCAGGTGCGCCTTACAAATGCAGGTTGTTGAGTGCCTCCAGAACGTCCTAATTCCTAAATGGGCATTGAAGGCCTACGGGCATCAGAGGACCAGTCTTATTCTTATGCTTCTACCTACAGGGATCCCAGTGCTGTGTTGACGGAATCAACATGCATGTGGGCTGAAAACACAAAGAATCATTGAATTGGTGCGTAGTAGTAATACTTCAGATATGGCCAACAGCAGGATAAATCATGCCAATCTTTTGTAAGCAGGTATGATAGCGATCCATACATACCTAATATGCACAACCTTTGGCCTGCCATCCAAATGTATCCAAAATGCCCAATGTCTCGCAGCTCCAAGCCGCCGCCGTTGCCGCCGCCCCATAGGCTTGCGCCGGTGCCGTGCGCTGCCTCTCACTGGAGACCGTTGCCACCGGAGGTTCACCGTCGAGGCCGCCGCGCCCCTGCCCTTCCTCCTCTCCCTTCCTTCCGTTCTTCTCTATCTCCTCATCTCTGTCTCTCCCTGGAAACGCAGCAGGCCATCGAGGAGCTCAGCCGCCACCGCCGTCCCTCCAACTCGCCGGCGCCGCCCATCGTCGACCCGATCCGGCAGCCTTCCGCCAGATCCACGCCAGCCCCGCCGGAGTCCACGCCTTGGCCATCACCGTTCCCTGCATCGAGATGCCGCCGCCGCCCCGTGTTGACTGCATCGCTTGTCTGCGCCTGGGCAATCTCTCTAGCCAAAGCACAATCTTTGGCCGGCATTAGCCCGTCGAGGGTGGAGCAGGGCACCAGGTGGAGGGTTGGGAAGAAGAGACAGCGCCAGAGATGGAGCAGTCTGTGCGGAGATCAGTTTCCTTTTTTTCTGTGTGCGTTGCGTGATTGGAGGAGGGATTACGATGCATGTGCGTGATCGTAGGGGAGGCGGGACCGGTAGTTCGAGGGAAAGCTTATGGATGGTGGAGTACGGTCAGTCATCGAAAATTGCTAAGTCCACATCATAGAGCTATTAGATAAGGATGACCGTTAGATTGAGATTTGTGGGTCTAATCGTAAGGTGTTTATGGTTCGTGCGGTGTTTTGGGGCTAATTGTGGGGTGCACCTAAGAAATTTCTTGTTTGATTGCTTAATAGTAGTGGAGAAGATTTGGAAATGAGTGGGTAG